CGAGTGTACCCTCAGCAAGTTTGCCAATGACACCAAGCTGAGTGCTGTGGCTGACATGCAGGAGGGCAGGGTTGCCATCCAGAGGGACCTGGGCAGGCCTGGCAGGTGGGCCTGTGCAACCCTCATGAGGTTCAACGCCAAGGGCAAGGCCCAGCAGCTGGGATGGGGCAATCCCAAGCACAAATACAGGCTGGGCCGAGAACGGATTTAGATAAGCCCTGAGGAGAAGGACCTGGGGGTGCTGGTGGATTAACATGAACTGGCAAGGTGCACTTGCAACCCTGAAAACCAACTGTATCCTGGGCTGCATCAAAAGCAGTTTGGATAGCAGGGCAAGGGATGTGATTCTTTGCCTCTGCTTTGCTCTCATGGCCTCAGGATGATCAAAGGACTGGAGCACCTCTCCTGTGAAGACAGGCTGAGAGAGTTGGAGTTGTTCAGCCTGAAGAAGAAGAGGCTCTGGGGAAACTTTACAGCGGCCTTCCAGTACCTAAAGGGGGCCTATAGGAAAGATGGGGAGGGACTCTTTGTCAGGGAGTGTAGGGATAGGACAATGGGGAATGGCTTTAAACTACAGGAGGGTAGGTTTGTTTAGATTAGATACAAGGAAGAAATTATTTGCTATGAGGGTGGTGAGGCAGTAGCACAGGTTGTCCAGAGAAGCTGTGGATGCCCCATTCCTGGAGGTGTTCAAGGCCGGGCTGGATGGAGCCTTGGCCAACCTTGTCTAGTGCGTGGCATCTCTGCCCATGGCAGGGGGGTTGGACTACATGATCTTTAAGGTCCCTTCCAACCCAAACCATTCTGTGATTCTACAAAGAAAACAAAAGCCTACAACAACAACAAAAACAAAACAAAACAAAAACAAACTCAGCAAATGGGCAGCTGGAATAGGACAAAAGCTAGTTCAAGTACGATCTAATCCTGCTGCAGCAGAACATCCAGTTACAATACATACTTGGAAATCATTTATGGAAGAGATGGCATTAGTCAAGCTACGTTGAACTCCTTATTGCTAGGCCACCCATAAGTTATCCTAAGGTTGGCTTTATTGACATAGAATTATGTTTACTATAGGCATATAAATGTAAGTATTGTGGTTTAAACTCTCAGTCAAACTTCGTGACAAGGGATCTAGATGTACTTAAATGACATCAATGCCCAGCTATCCTTGCTATTCATTCCTGCACATTTAGAAGATTCCTGTAACAGAAAACATGCAGAAACACTGCCAAATCAGTTCCCAATTACCTGACAGACATCAGTTAACCTGCATCATGTTTTAACAGGTATGAAGAGACTCATATCTTTCTTTATATATATATATATATATAACAACATTATATGTAATAATATTTATATAAGTATATTACTTTTACGCTGGCCCCAAGCCAGTACCACTCTGTGGTACAGCAGAGTTTACCGTCCTTGCTAATTTTAGGCTGAACAACTTGAAGACAAGTCACAAAACAATAAATGGGATAGAGGAATGCAACCCACTGCAAAAGCATTTTTGCCACCCTGATCTTTGGAATCTCATTCTGAATTATCTTCATAATACAGCTTGATGTGTTTATCATGGGCTGGCATGATGAGATTGGCAAAGCAGTAAAAGTTAACCATTGATTTCCATCCACCTCATTTAAAGATCAAACTTCAAAGTTTGCCTTCTTCTAGTATCCCACAGCTGGCAAACTGATGAAAGCCACAAATACAAGAATCCACACCTTTAGCTTTCAAGATTTCCATGCAACCAGCAATACTAAACAGATTTTTCAATGCAGCTTTGAAATCTACACAAAGAAAAGCTAGATGAAGGGGAAAAAAAAAAAAAAAAAGGATAGTGAGGGATAGTGAGGGATTCCAACATTTAAAAAAAAAATATACAAAAACAATCTTAGTTATAATTCTAGAAGGAAAAAGACAGCTTTTGCAAGAACTCAACCCTGAAGTATACATAGCATCATTCTTTTACATGCAAAAAATCTGAAGTCAGATTGTAGTGTGTTAAGAGTTCTAAGTAACTCATAAAGTGTGAGTTAAATCTCATAAAAATGCAGCTGCTTGTTCTGACACTAATATTCCACCAGACCTCAGGGGAAGAACAGCTTCTTGTGCCATCAGTGCCACACCAATGCAGAGACTCCATAAAACTCATAAATATCAACCACCTGTGAGATTCTTGCTTAACTAACACAGCTGTGGGGCTGATCTGGAGAGGATGCTAAGGATTCATGCTCAGTGAAAAGAAATGCTAAGGAAGGGAAAATGGGGAAGAAATGAAGCAACAGGCTGTTAACAGAGAATTCAGGACCAACCAATTGCTGCTCCTATGGTGAAAAGGTTTGGAGCTGGCTGCTTAGCCTGACTTCTGAGGGAGGCCACAGAATCACAAATGGGGAGAGGCAAACCATGAGATTGCTGACAGGAAAAGCACATCTGAGAGAAGTTCCTGCTAGTTTAGGACTCACTCCAGAAGACTCACTCTCTTTTTCAAGGTTCAAGAGAACTGCTGGACTAAGTTGGATGCAGAAATGCATACATAAATCTGTGGAACATCACTACTCTGAGTTTTGTCTTCAGAGCTTAAGAAGATCGTTTAAATGAGGAGAGCAAGCAGCAACGTTAATTTTGTTTAAATACATAGAAGACTACTCCACATATTTAAACATTTCTTAAATGAAAGTAATTAACAGGTTTTTGGAGAGAATGCAGGACCACCTAAAAATTAGAAAAGTTCTCTTGAAGTTGTTCAAAATAAACAGTAACTTCCTATTTGTTTGATTTCATATGGGCCTGAAACAATGTAAATTAGAGACCTGTTGCCATTATTAAATTACAGAATCATAGAATCATTAAGGTTGGAAAAAACCTTCAAGATTACCTGGTCCAACCATCACCCTTCTATCAATCTCATCATTAAACCATGTCGCTAAGCACCAAATATACTACTTTGAAAATATCTACCAATAAAAATAATAAAAAAATCCAAACAAGTATGTCAAGTCTTTTCATATAAAAAATGCTGTATGCTATATATACGCACAAAAATTATATATACATATTCTTCTACATTGAACTGCTGCACAGCCTCAGTTATTTACTGGATTCAAGACAAGTGACTACACCACTGACAGAAAGAACATTTCTGCAAAGACTATAAAAAAGGAGACTGTAAATCTGGTGAACTATAACCTGACATCATATTTTCGTTTACGTCTATGTACTACATAAATAATATAGATTGGCAATGATAACTACAAAGGTCAAGGGATACTCTAATGCAATAAAAAAGAAGAAATAATCCAATTTAAAAACAGACACTCATCTTGGCCATTTTTGGAGCTGGCTGAAGGGTAAGATGGGTGTCCTTGAGTAGCACAGCACTGGACATGGGCTGTGATATTCTTTGAGCCATTGAGTTGGGTTTAGCATGGTGCTAATACAACTGCACATCTCCAACCTCAGCACTCGTTGATTTTTATCCAGTTCCAATCTCCAGACTAGCAGGTGTATATTTCCCTAAGTCAAATGACAGGATTAGAAGAAGGAAAGGAAGAGAACAGGTAGGTGGTACAGGAAGAATGGAAGACTGCTTCTTCTTAGTCTTAGAGAGAATCAAAAGGCATTTCTAAGATGAAAGACTGTGGCTACAAGGGACGGGAACTACAGTAGCTGGAACAGAGGAAGATGAGAGGACAAGCTGCAGTCTGAAGAGGACACATGCACCACCCCAATCCTTGCCACCTGCGGGTAAACCTTGTCATGCAGAAAAGGGTTATGTCTGGGGGTTTCTGCTCTCTCCCAGCTGCACAACCCCTGGGGGTACAGCGCCCTCCCAGGAACCATGCATTCGGCACATAACATTAGCATTGGTTTCAAAATGAAGCTGACTGAAAGGAAAAAACACAGTATTCTGGTAACTAGCAAGTATCACTGGGTTGCACCTCAGTAAAACCTCCTGCTGCAGTCAGGAATCCACAGGTGGACAAGATTATCATAACACGAGGCTGTTAAAATTCATTAAGCAGAGCACAACCCCATCACCTGTGTGCTAAGCAAAATTCAGTTCAGCATTGCAGGATTTACATTTTGAAGCTAATAGACAGTAAAGCTAATGCCATCCATAAGAACAGCATATTTATAACCCTAAATTTGCTACAGACAAATTTGGTACAGGCAAACTGCTCAGTTTTAAGAAGAGCCATTGTGTGGGAAAGAAGCTAAGTAAGGGTAGGTAAAGGTCAGCATTATCCCTGAACAGCCAAAACCTGGGACCTATGGAAATCAACCACATCATGTATATTCACTTTGTGGCATCTTTTTTTTTATTGTAGGAATGGGTAAAACAGATAGCAGTACGCTGAGTGTGCTATCTAAAGATTGTATACACAATCTTTAGAAACTGCTCAGAATTTAAACAGAGTGAGCACATGAATACAGAACACCATCACAATTTTCATAGCTCAGCACTAGACAAGAAGAAACTGAATTGTTTTCTGAAACTACATGCAGACACTCAGTAAATTCTCCACTCGATGTTTATTATGTAGAGTAGAAGAGATTTCTGCCAATAGACAAGGTAGAGATTTCTGTTTGGTTTGTTGGGTAAATAGAGTTTCTCTAGTTGTATAGAGACTCTCCCTCAAGCATGACCTTCTATACACCAGAGAGAGAAAATGTCAGTAAACTTTCTTAGCCTAATCATTACTTTCACTAGATAGACAATTTTTACCAGAAGTCAAATAGGATGAAAAAAAAATGAATGGATTAATGATTGTTTATAAAGAAGAGTAATCAAGATATTATCATCATTTTGGGCAATAAGGGAGAGATTCAGCATGCTGTCTGGTCACGATTTGAAAATTTGATTAAACTACAGTAACCCTCTCCCTGACAAGATCAGCACAACAGTTGAGCTTTAGCCAGCCACATCACTGTGTAAATAGCTTTCATGATAAGCCAGTTTATAAATTCTTTTTGCAAAGCTCGGCTACTTCACGGAAGTCCTCCTACAGACAGAAAGATGGCGTTTAATGGTACTTGGAAAGTAGACAGAAATGAAAACTATGAAAAATTCATGGAGACCATGGGTAAGCCTTACTTTTCCAATGCCTTCTAAAAGCTTGATATTGCTATGGCTGACTCCAAATTCAAGCTGTCTGTGGCTAACTTGTCTTATGCTGTTTGCTACTCTGTCCTAGTACACTGTCCTGCATTTACTTCCAAAAGATTCTACAAAGAGGTAGAAAAAGATTCTGATTTTAATTACATTATCTTAAACAATCCAGCTAATTCCAGTAGAGTTATTTCAGCAGAAGAATCTCTAAGACTTCTAAGATTACATTAGTGGAAAATGTTCAGAGAATTTGAATGGTAAACTTAAACAGAATTCTATACCAGGGATATTATTTTGATAACATATAACTGGTTTAAGAACTAGGGAGGAAGGAAACCATTGGTCTTCAATTTTACAGAACACACATGATTCAAGTCATTTTAACATGTGGATGCTTACTTTAAGCTTGTACAAAATGCCTGTAATATGGATATAAACAACTATTCCAGTTGGCTAGTGGTTTGTATTATATATGTACTACTGAACACTGCCTCAGTAAAAAGGTGGAGAAGAATAAAAATCTGGGTCAGATTGCTGGGCTAAACTCAGTTGACCACATAAATGTCACTACAAAGATGCAAATATGATGTTCTCTTTTTTTTTTTTTTTTTTTCCTGATTTATGTTAATTGATTTTTCCAGGTGTTAACGTCATGAAAAGGAAGTTAGGAGCCCATGATAATCTGAAGATCACTATTCAACAAGATGGAAACAAATTTATTGTCAAAGAATCAAGCAACTTCCGTACCATCGATATTGAATTCACTCTGGGAGTCAGCTTTGAATACAGTCTGGCTGATGGGACTGAACTTACTGTAAGATACTTTTTATATGATTATATATTTATTATATAGTAACAGCTTTCTGAAGTACAATTTCAGGATCAATGACCTGTTTTCCTAGGTTCTAATTTAAATTTGACCTTTAAAGTCTGACTGTCCAGGAATGCTTGCATCATATATACAAGATCACAAATTAGTTTTAACTATTAATGGCTTAACACTGTAACAGGAAGCTCAGCGTTCTGTACAGTGCCCCAAAAGCAGGATATCCAGCAATCTTCACATGCAAAAACGCAGGCACGTGCAATTTCGCATTTGATAATACTCAAGTACACCACCTAGAGTGTAGTGAGGGTATTGTAAGAAATTAACTATACAGAGAAAAAGTAAAATCAATTGAGCACTAAAAAAATTAGCTTGACAAATAGAGAATTAAATAAACTATTAGGTTTTATTAATATTTCATTTTTATATCCTGTCCAACTATGTCATAAAAACTTGATTATACTGTTTTAATCTCTGCTCACCTTAAAGCACTCCTGTAGTCTTTAAATCAAATCAGATATCAGATATATTTAAATCAAATCAAAATAAACACATAATGCTGTGTTTATTGTAAAATATATATATATATTTCCCATCATAGGGTTCTTGGAACCTGGAAGGAGATAAACTTGTAGGAACATTTACAAGAAAAGATAATGGAAAGCCACTCAAAGCATACAGAGAAATCGTCGGCGATGAACTCGTTCAGGTGAGTTGAGCAGTCACTCATATGCAACTTAAATATATAACAACCTGAAAATAAGCACATTTTCAGAGCTGTTTGGAAAGTAGAAAGTACTTTCTTCAAGCCAAGTAACTTTATTTGTCTTCAGTTAGAATCCTCAAGTCTAGTAATAAATTAAAATTTAAAACTATAAAATAAAACTTTAAGATGTGATTTTTTTCCTACCCATGTAAACTGTATCTTATCAACACATTCTGACATCTCTGAATACAAGCTATATATGGAAGGTACATACGTACTACATATATAGCATACATAGTATATACGTATACATATATATACGGTATATATATAAGTATACATATACATACTTCAGTGCGAGGGCCCTTTTCTGACTTCTAAAAGCCTTACTGCAGGAGCTCATACAGGATAATGCGCTCAGTGTCTGATAAGTGCCCTTTTCAAACAAAGCTTGGAGTTGGGGTGTGCTGGGTTGATGACAGAAGGGAAAGCTCAAGACAAATAGTAAATGCCTCACTGCTCTGCAGTAAGGCCAGAGACTGAAGTGAATCACAATGTTTCAGGATCCTTTTCCACTAGCTGGACACAAACTTCTTAAAAATAAATAACCAGGTGTGAGATCTGAGATCAAAATCATACAGCCTAACCTCTCACATTTCTTAAAAAAAAAAAAAAAATGTTTGCATGGAGAATTTATGGCTATTGTCAATAGGCTGCTTTCCTTACATTCCTTTCCTCAGAGCCCTTATGAGGTCCTGTAGGCCCCACAATTAATTAAACTGCCTCTGCTGTTTCTCAATAGAATCTGTGAAATTAGATTTTATGAAAGCAGTCACTGATTTTTCTTCTTAATTTCTGAACAGACCTACGTGTATGAAGGAGTTGAAGCCAAGAGATTCTTCAAAAAGTGCTAAATTCTTCACCCAGAACAGCACTAGAACTGAAATCCAATGATAAAAGGCCATTTTTCTGCATATACCGTGTTGTTTTTCCTTTTATCCCCTCACAGCACCTAAAAAGTTGTGATCACTTACTGCTACTGAAAACATGTTTGTTTACATTTAGTGTTTTGCCTTGAATAAACAAAATTCAATTACAATTTGAAACAAATGCTAAAGTGTTATTTGTATGAAGTCCTACCTGACTGTGAAAGGCTGGCAAAATCATGTTCTATAATCAGAACTTAAATATTTTTGCGCTGGTTCTTAAATGGTGACTTAGTTTGCTTACCATTATATTTATGTTGATTAAAGGTTTCTCTGTGTGCTGAGCATTGTGTAATAAGGATGGTAAAACTTACAAGAAACCTGGGAACCCCCAAGCCTCTAAAACTCTTATAAGTAAATATAAATGCACAGTAAATAAAAATATGGTCAGATAATACTTCTCACTTCAGTGGTTCAAATGATATCTCTGATGCCTTGCTGATATCAATAGGAGTAATATCAAGCACTTGCTGATGACATACAGATATCTCACATAAAGCAATTTCACTATATTTGTTTTTTAAAGTGTGGACATGCTTTTAAAACATACAGATTTGGAATTGTTCCAATACATTAGGGCTCAAAATTATTCTGTTTCAGGAAGAATGTCAGAGACTTCTTTTCAGGCCATGAATAAAAATATTCAAGGTATCTTACCGCGATAAAGAATGATTTCAGACAAAGCTGGCTTCAAGTACTGGTGCTTCTGATGGGTGACAAATGCATGTACCACGTTCTGCTCACGTCGCTCAGTCTGTAACTGCTGATTTCACCCCAGACTCAACTCCCTTGAGTCGCATTATTTCCTAGGGGTGGCAATAAAAATGCCTCATGAGGGTCAGCTTTAGTCTAGATCTGCTGTGTCCCCATAACTAAGCCTCCCTGTGGCGATCCAGTCTTTGTCCCCGTGTCTAAAGGGCATCCTCTTCCAGCCCTGCACGGTCGCTGACACAGCAGCAGAACACACCTGGGCACTGCGGGCACTTCTGTCCTGCAGCAAACATGCCCCAGGACTCTCTGCTTGTTTCTGAGCTCTTTGCACCTTCCTCCTTCTAATGTCACAGTGAGAAAAAGGCTGAGCCATGTAAGAACCTTGCTAAAAGGTTGTACCTCCACGGGGACCTGAGGACAGCCCCGAGCTCTAACCCACAGCACGAGTGCAGCTGTAATCTCTTACAGCACATCAGCACACAATTCCCTCAGGATGGGAAGCAGCTGAATAACCTTCTGCTGTCTGCTTATTCATATGCTGCTGGAGCTCCTGGCATCAAATATTGTTTCTTAACAGGCACATTTACACTTTTAGTTTTTTGTTTGTTTGTTTTCTAATTCCTCCATTCATTACTTTCTTGGCTCTTTTGACTGTCTTTATGCTGGGTAGAAAAGAGAATGTTCTTTCTTCGGTTATTTCTACAGCTGAAGCCTCTCCAGCCTATGCTTTTGTAGTCTTCAGGGTCTCAGAGCTCCCTCTTCTGGCAAAAGGCTCTCATGACGCCAACTGGATTCGATTTCAGACTAGGGAGCCCCATCCTTCGTCAAAACAATTCGGAATTTCTCGTTTCCAGTATTGATTGTAAGAGATGTAAGATTAGAGAGCAAACGTACGAAAAGCTAAACAAAAAGAAGGGATAATTACTAAGTAGGGTTTTTTGTTTGTTGTTGTTTTGTTGTTGTTTTGCAGGCTTTTTATTTGGTTTTTAATATTTAAAAAATTATTTTAGCAAATTCTGGATTACATACAAGGCCATTAACTGAAAGGTAAATTAATAGGAAGGGAGCAGAAACAACCTGAAGATATAAGTTAAAAAGTATTCAACAACCCCAAATACTTCAGGCAGCTGCAGGCAGCAGCTGTACTTGAAAAATAAGGAAAAAATTAATGATTCAGTCTCTAATAGCTGAGGTAGGATCAACTGTAATCTGCACGTAGCACTGCTTTTTCTCTCGATGCAAGGCTTAAAAGTGGTTAATAGCTCTAATGAAGGTGATTTTGTTTAGTATAATCACCAATTTCTAGTCATTCTTCTAGACAGAATGAAAACCGCACTCCTTCCGAGTGAACTGGCAGGTCTGTCAGAGGGCGGTACAGGCTGTGCAGCTTCGTTTCTTTGAATTTTTTATGCAGTTGCGTGTTTTAAAACCCACGGCGTGCATGAATTCCTCCACGCTGCCTGAAGGTGTCCGAGCTGCCACCAGCTTGCGAGGACAAGCAGGTTTTCCCTGGGTATCTTCCCACCGAGACTTCCCAGGGGAGCCTTTCGGTTTGCTCCAGCAAGCCCCCCGCCCTCCACGGAGCTGACACGGCAAGCGGGGAACGTTTATTCCCACACAGATCCCTGCGCAGACTGCCAGAAGCAGCGCTGACACTGCGGCACAGGGCTGACGGAAGCTGCCACATCGGCAGCCCCCTCCCAACGGCCGCCAACGGCCGTCACGTGAAGCCGCAGCCCCTCCCTGGGGTGTGGCCGCGCGGCTACGTGCGCTCGCCTCCCATTGGCTCCGCGCGCGGAAGGGCCGCAGGCGCCTGCGCAGTGAGCGCCGCCCCCGCGCCGTGCCGTGGCGGAGCTGCGTGAGGAGATGGCGGCGGCGGCGGCGGGGTCGCGGCGCCGGGAGCAGGCGGCGGCGGAGCGGGACGCGGCGGCGGTGGCGGCGCCGGCGCTGTCGGGGCAGTCGTACTGGCTGGACCTGTGGCTCTTCGTCCTCTTCGACCTGGCGCTGTTCGTGTTCATCTACCTGCTGCCCTGAGGTCGGGGGGCCGCGGGCCGGGCAGGGCCGGGCCGGGCCGGGGGTGCTGAGGCGGGCCCGCGCCGCGGGGAGCCCCTGACCCGGCGTCTCTGTGCCCCGCAGGGCCGCGGAGAGCGGCGGGAGCCGCCCGGCAGGAGGCGGCCGTGGGGAGCCGCCGCTCGCACCTGGGGACCTCCCGAGGCGGGAGCCGTGCCCGCCCCGCGCTGTGCACTCGGAGACCACGGGACGGGACGGCTGCGCCTTTGTGCCTGAGTATCTGTGGAGACGCGTGCTCTTTGTAAAAAAAGCGAGCGGCAGGACGGACTGTACTGACAATAAAATGCGGCTCTCATGGAGACGGGAATTGTAACGCAGGCCTTATTGCTTGAAAGATGAAATGTAGCTCTGCTGTCTCACGTTGACCCCACTGACTGAGTTAGTCAGTGCTGAGCACCTGGCTGGGAACAGCGAAGGAGGGAGGTTATGAGAAGAGCCTTCCTAGGCAGGTTACATGTGAAGAACGCTGCTCCCTAAATCTGTGAGCAGCTGTAAGCAGTACCAGCCCTTCAACTTCTGTGTTTCCCCATCAGAATTTTGTAAGCTAAGTACACAGAGTAAGATCTTTACCAGATTATCAGGTTTTAGAAATAAAATCTTTAACTATGGGTGGAAGCAGTTCAGTTGCCTTGTGTAGTTTTCCCTTGTAAATACCCTTAATTGTGAGAAGTATATGTATATATATATTTTTTTTTTTCCCTGGGAATAGATAGAAAATATAACTGGACTTCAGAGACTCAAGTGTAGGGCATTCAGCATCCTCTAACACATTGAGAAGAGGCTGCTATTGAGTTAAATAGGTTTCAAGTCATGAAAGTGGGTACACTTTTTTTTTTTATTCCTAAACAATTCTTCAGTTGATAATAGCTTCACTTATCTATCAGGTTCATGCGTTCAGAAGTGAGCTTAAAGCTTTATACCTATACCTGCTAGTATTTATGACAGGGGTTGGTAGTACTCGTTAAAAAGTGGTTTTAGCATTTCTGACTCAGGATAGAAAAAAACTGAACTATGTTTGCATTCTCACACAGAGGAAAATTGTTTTTTAACTTTTATTTCAAATGAGACTATTAAAGAGACAAGTTCGCTACTGTGTTTTTTTCCCCAACACAATTTCACACTGAAATCTCAACAGAACAACCTACTATGGAAGCAGTGTAATGTTCCATTTCTCTTTTATAAGGCAGACTTGAGAAAAAATGTTGACTGAATCAACTTTAGAAGGTTAAAAGAAAGCTCAAGCTATTCCGTGGCCATTTATATTTTTCCTTCAGCCAGGTTTGAAAGTCAGGGTTTTATGTGTCTCAGGAAACAAAGCTATCAAAGCACAGGCTTCTGATACTTTGAGCTCAAGCTGTTTCATACACCCCTGGAGTACCTAAATATGCATACAGAAGCAAACTTCACTTCACTTACCCCTAATAGAGTAGAGCTATAAAGTATACTCCACCAGTTGTCACCAGATCTATGGGATTATGGTACAAAATGCATAAATCAATTTTAATAGGTAAATAGCTAAATAGCTTATTAACAAACCAGTATTTAAGAAAATGAATTTTACTTCAAATATGCTAACAACTACCTTCTCTTCAAAGCTTACAAGCATTAGTATTAACCATCATCGTTTAAAAATGTAGTTCGGAAAGCCAAGGTATGGGGATCTTGGTGGGGGTTTGGGTGTGACATACAGAAAGAACAGAGACAAAGATACTTTAAGTTTTTAATCTGATAGTTTGAACAAGCAGAATTTGCAAGAAAATAATTCTAAAGACTGAAAAATATATTAATTACAAGACTTGTTAATGTATTTACTGTTACAAAAATCATCTAGGCTCTTATACAAATCTATAGCCAGAAGGGGACATTTATAAAAAAATAAATAGGCACCCTAGGTAAGTCAAAACAAGTTATCACATATTCATTAGCAAATATTACATACATACACGGAGTGCAGAGTCAAATATAAAAACAAAGGTGCCTGAATTAGCTGTCTGTTTACTATTAAATACCTGGTAAACATGGGTCACCTAAGTAGTTGTCTGGTAAGATTGTTTCAAGCAAAGCAAGAAGACAGAAGTACATCTAAATTACTGCAGCTACTTTAAAAATAAGTTTACCAGTTGTGCTTACTGGAAACCAAGTTCATTGGCATCAGTAATAGGCATTCATATTGCTTTTTGTACAGAAGTATGAACATTGTTACGCATGTTTAAAAATAGCTGTTATCATTCACAGTTGTTGCTGTGCTATTTATACATAAAAATACTGTCATTTCAAATACAAGATTTTTGCAAACATTTTTACAAATTATACATTATATACAAATTCTATAATCTTTGTTTTTTACACAAGTATTAGAAGACAGTTTTACTTAACTGGCTATGTATATTATGTAACATGGCTGTAGGTACACTAGAAAAGATTAATTTACAAGTTTTGAAATCTTTCAAAAATACTACAATAAGGAATCTTCCAAGTTCTTACATGTTCAAGGCTTTTTTCCTCTATTCCACTGATTTGCTTAGGAAAGGATAATTTCAAGTTGCTGTTTTCCAGCAACCATGCTGGAACCCTAAACATGCATAATTATTTGCACTATAAACTCTAGATATTTTTTTTTTTCCAAGTGCTACAATAAGTTTTGATCAAGACGACAAAAATAAGATTAAGATACCTGGTTTGTTGCATACATCATGTTCCAGTTTTATAGCATAAGTTAGAAGTAGTTTAAAACACTGACCTTAAAGAATAACCAAATGTGGAACTTGGTTAATCACACTAAATAAACAATTTTCAACGTTTTGTTGAAGCACTAAAACTCATATAAGTTTTATAAACATTAAAAAAGCCTCTGAACTAACAGTGCAAGCATAATCAAGTGTGTTTACCATGCATTTTTAACCTGCTTGCATTATTTTCTTAGCTAAAAGGCATTTACGTTTAGATGTCATCAGCACCACCCCAATTTTAAGTTTAACACAAATAATTATAAGGTTCGGCTTTTCCAGATCGTGTCAGGACTTCCTGACATTAATTCTAAATTACACATTGTGCAGTGTTACAACAGACTGGAACAGAAGCCTAAGCCAATGCTTCTGATACCACAAGACACAGGAGGTCATTTCTAACACTCAGGGTCACCAGGAGGGTAAAATCACATTCACCCTTCTTTCCTCCCCCATCCTCACTGCTCCATGTGCTTTGCCTCAGCAATCATGTAATACTTCCATGCACTGATTTAACTTCCTAACCAAAAAAATGCCAAATAAATCTGCTTTATTTATGAAGTAAGTCAGGTTACCAAAAGACACGGTAAATGCCAGACCTGCCTAAATGGCAGGCAGAGTGCTAGAACAGAGAAAGAGAGGAACCTCTTCTCGTGCCACCTTAAGTCTGAACGGCTGCAGGTTCAGTCAGACTTCCCTGCTATTACAGTACTTAGCCATTTGTAGAACTGCTCCGAAGATGGAAAAAAATGTCGATAAAGTTATGACTGATCCCTATTAAACATTGCTTAAAATGTCAAGCTGAAAAGATAGGAAGTTCAATAAATAGCAACACTGACTTTGTGTGCAACTGTAGAATAAATCAGAACAGAACATAAACAGCAAATATGCCTAAAGTACTTAAGGAGAGGCTACAGACAGGATGGAAGCTCACTCTCCCCAAGGAGACACATGGAGAAGACAAGGGGCAATGGGTCACAAGTTGCACCCAGAAAGACTTCATCTTGATCTAGGATTTTATTTTTTTTTATTTTTATTAACGGTGAGAACAATCAATTGCTGGAACAACCTCCATAGGGACACACCTATCTAGTATCCTGTCCAATCACATCCTGAAAGCCACCAATAAAAGGAGATTTTCAAGGTTCAGTTGGACAGGATGCTAGATAATCTCATCTAAGCTGCCTTTTCACAAGAAACATTGGACCTGATTATCTTTCAAAGGTTGCTTCCAACCTGGGCTGTTTTATGATTCTGTAATTCCAAAACCTTACCGAAATGCATATATGATAACTGTATAACACATCCATATTTTAAAATTAGCATCCTATTTTCCTATACCAGTTTGTAGCTTATGTGGTTAAACTTAATTTGACTAAGTTAAAGTATATAGCTTATAGGGTGAACAAATCTCATAAATGTGCAAGTTCAAAAGTGTGTACAAACAGAGCAGGTATATTAATAGGATAACATTACTGCCATTTACTTGAATTCCCTTCAAAAATCTTTCCTAGCATTTGCAAAACAAAACAGTTTGTAAAGAATTATTATTAAGGCTTTTAAAAGAGTTAGAAGATCTCTGGACGACCTTGTTTTAAAGACACTTGAAGGTTTGTGAAAGTACAGACTCTCAGAGAAGTCAGATGAAGAAACAATGTCCTGCTACCTGTCATGAAAAATACTGCTCCGTTGTATTTACTGCATTATATACGGTAATACATTTACCATTTTTGTTTAAGTATTTAGTGACCACAGTCCGAAGGAACGCTTTTTAAACTGCAACTATTTAAATCTTAGAAAAGAATAAATCAGTAACATCTAGTTGATCCCACTCATGTAAAATGCATATACCTAAAGGGACCATTTTCAACCTAAAGTGTAGAAGATGAGACAAGTAACAGAGGTAAGCATTAAGGCAACTACAGTAATAAATCAAAGAACCAGAAGTTTAGCACCTCTTCTCCTCTGCTCACCTATTTGCATATTCATGTACAGAGTCATAACTCCTAGGCAAAGTACAGCCAACTGGGTACCGACTTACAGAGATTCAAGGCTTGTGCCCATCTACAGACTATGTGAAATGCAACAGTCAGATCCAGATTTTTATTTTTATAGCTATCTACTGCAATGTATACCTTCCACATTTGCCTTGTACCTTTGCTCGGATGTGGGATGCCTGGGCTCATGAGTAGCATGGTAGGGAGCATTCAGTTCTACTCCAGCTGGTGGTGGATGCTTTTCTTTGTGAAAGCTTCCACTATCGGTAAAATACAGCTTGGGTCTCTGATGATACTTCATCCTGTATGTGTCAGTCATACAACTGTCTACTGAAAAATAAGTTGTTAGGGATACACTGTCATTGCCATCCACATAGCCAGCACTTGGTCCCATATGACGAGATCCTTTCTTTAAGAAGTTCTCAGACACTGTCCAAAAGTCATTAACTGATAAGCTAGGTGGAGAATCCGGTTTATGAACAAACAACTCATTCCCTTGAAATGGCTCTTTGAGCCTTTGTTCGTTTGTAAATACATTTGCTTCTGATGCAGACTTCAAAGGTGTACCTGCCTGCCTTAATGGGTTACTTTGCAATGCTTCTGTCGCTTTTACATCAGCTGCTGAATTACTTTCTGATCCTGGCAAAACATTCAGAGCATATTTCTTTGGAGGTAAAGGGGGAGGAAGATTTTGGTAAACCGCTTCTGGCACCCAAAGAGCATCTGCCCTGCGGACTGGGTGCCCGGCACGCTCGCAGGGAGGGGGCAGCACAACGGGCCTTTCCAGTGGGTTCTGCGGCACAGAAGCCAAAAACCCCATCTTGGGAACAAACGTCCTTGCATGAAGAGGCTGTGGATGGGAGGAGGAGTGAAAATCATTGTTGATTGGCTTCCTTCCACAGATGTTTTCTGTATAAGGGTGGGGTACGCCATCAGCACAATATACTGATACATTCATCTTCTCAAACCTGTCTGGATTAAGCCACTCTGAAGAAGTTGGTTCGTTTGCCTTGTTCCTACTTTCTGACTTCACCACCTCTTTAAGAACTGGCTGTAGAGTTGATGATGGGAGAAGTTTCCTATTACTCTCAGGCATTTCAGCTCTAAAATACAAAAACACAGAGGACATAAGTATCCATTAAAGCTGGAATAACAATGACAAATGACGCAAGCAACTTTTACAGTGACAGCTCTGGTAACACTGCCTTCTTGACCTGACATAAGCCATTTAATTAAAAGCTGCATTAAATCACTCTGAGCTTCTTTCATTTGAAAGGTACACTGTCCCCAGAAAACTTTGTGGGATATTAAATAGTCATAATAAAGAAATTATTTCAAGATTCGGGACTGTATCAAATATGAATT